CATCAGAAATGTTGGAACTCTTCTACTTTGTAGGATACGTTTTCAGAATTAGCTTTTAAATAACGACGACAAAAAATAAAGTGAATATTATACAGTAATCTCATTAAATGGTTAGGAACATATTTTACAAATGAAATTTGTCAATAAATCGATTATTTCGTTTTCATTATTATATTGAACTTCTTGTCTTTTTTGTATTTATTCGCAGATTTCTTCAAATTCTTCAAATGTCGTCTTTTCAATAATAATTCTAGAAAATCTACGAAAATCTTTGTAAATAATAAGAAACCAGAATAATGAGAAAATAGAAACTAATAATTGAACAAGATTACTTATTTTCGATGATAAGATTAATTTTTGTTTTCTCAACCTGTTCCTATACATGACGTATGTAGTTTATTGTAGAACTTTTTTTACATTTTGAAAAGGGGGGGGGGTGTACCCCCAAGGATTTTTACAAAGTCATTACTCCGAAGGCTTTTGCCCTGGAACAGGTCATCTATGACCACCGACATGTTGGTCAACCTGGAAAGAATGGCAAGGCACCCAAATGGCAAAGAGGCTTGCCTCAATTTCAGACATCAGTCTTTTAAATGCCTTTACTTTATGCGACCCAAGAAAAGTAAATTATCCTGGATTGGAAGGATTTTTTTTTGAACAAAAATTTCTTTTTTACTTTCAGCCTTTTTATGGTATACTTTTATTTTTAACTCTAAAAATAAACATCAAATTTAGCATGATTTAAGATGGCGCATGTGTTAATTTGAAAAGTTAAAAAAAAACAGCCACAGACCAACCAATACGTCCCAAAAACGTCCCATGGACCCAACCTCAGCCGGAATTCGAAAAAATATTCAGCATAAAAAAAATCTCGAAATTCAAATTTTTTGAAAATGCACGAATTTAAATTGAAAATTTAAAGAAAGACAATAATATTTCAAATCCTTTTTCATACTTTTAAAACTTTCATCAAACAGAAAGTGCCTTTGTAAAATATGACGAAATATTGCAAAATTTAAACATGCAAATGAAAGGTTAATAATAATAAACACTTACGTCGAATGTTTTTCCATCAAGAAGAAGAATATATGATTTCTTAAAAGTTCCATCATAGACAATAGACAAAACTATTCCATCATCCTCGTCTTTACCTTCTAACATTTAGTAAGTTAATTATTTTCAAATAGAACAAAAATTGCCTGTAAGGTAGAAATATTTAAAGATATCACAAATTATAGGTTTGGGGGAAATTTTTTATTTTATTGTTACTAATGAACATTGTCCATTGTTTTATCATGGAAAGTTACTTGAAATTACAATTATGGCTTAAAGTTACATTATTTACCTGTATTTGCTAAAGTTACATTATTTACCTGTATTTGCTAAAGTTACATTATTTACCTGATTTGCAAAAGTTACATTATTTACCTGTATTTGCTAAAGTTACACTATTTATCTGTATTTGCTAAAGTTACATTTTTTACCTGTTTTTCCTAAAATTGCATTATTTGCCTGTATTTGCTAAAATTACATTATTTACCTGTATTTCCTAAAATTGCATTATTTACCTGTATTTCCTAAATTTACATTATTTACCTGTATTTCCTAAAATTACATTATTTACCTGTATTTGCTACAAAGAAGGGTTCTCCAGGGTAATGGAAAGGAACAGACCAAACCTTGTCATTTCTAGAATCTTCTAGATCTTTCTTAACCAATCCTTGTCTCTGGTTGTCTATACCTATCCATCCATATACAAACCTATGATAAATTAACAATAACATCAGATAGGACACCATATCCCTAAGACAAAAGCCGCAAGCAGTTCCGCGCAGGTAGCGTTGAATTACAAGACTGAAAGAGAGCTCGTGCATCAGGGTAATTGTGAAAGAAAAATCCCTAAATCTAAAAAAGACGACATCTAGTGTCCTATCAGTTATTGTTAACTAATCTATGCCTACGGATAAAAAGATTAATGTTAGAGTAGAGATGGCCATAGGTTTTGGCTCCGCTAGCAGAACATTTAAGTTTTGGGCTCCATTCACATAACATTTAAGTTTTGGGCTTTGTTCACAGAACATTTAAGTTTTGGGCTCTGTTCACAGAACATTTAAGTTTTGGGCTCCGTTCACAGAACATTTAAGTTTTGGGCTTTGTTCACAGTACATTTAAGTTTTGGGCTTTGTTCACAGTACATTTAAGTTTTGGGCTTTGTTCACAGAACATTTAAGTTTTGGGCTCCGTTCACAGTATATTTAAGTTTTGGGCTCTGTTCCCATGTTTTATTACTTTAAAGAAAAACTTTTATTTTATACATAAGAAAATAAGTATTCAAAACATGATTTGAAGTTTTATTGAATAGACTATTGTTTCATGTTTTTAAAAATGTCATATCTTTATAGATATTTTTTCTTCTATTTTCTATAACTGTGCCTCATGATGTGAACATGTTTAATGTAAATGATTTCTAAGCAGTTTGATTTTTTTTTGCAAATGTTACATTAAGAACTAGAAAACTTTGGAATATATCAATACTTCAGTATATTTGATGTTGTCACAAAGCAAATAGTTTTACTGATAACTTGTTAAATCACTAGCTGTGTTTTATATTCATAGACTCTGTTTATAGGCATAACTAGAGAGTCTAAAAGTCGTTTTCCTATTCCAGAGTTTTCTGGTTCTCACTGTATGTACATTACCTAACAATTAATCTATCATTACCTATTTCTGATTCCGTTATAATTGGTATTAATATTGGGAAACTCGAGATAATTAATGTATGGTATTTCTAGAGCATTCTTCCAATCATGCACCTTTACCTCCTAAAATACAAAATATTTTTACTAAGTATTTCATGTTCAATTAGTTGGTAAGTCACACTATACTTTGGTTACATTTCAGGTAACAGACGTACTTTCAACCAACTGGAAGTAAGCCGTACAGTACACAAACTGACTCTTTGTTAAGAAATACGGGATAGAACACTGGTTCATTCTCTTCAAGTGATATTTATGTGAGATGGACTCAGTTATGGAGGGGAGAGCAATCGTCTCTCCCCTCCCTGACAGGGGGGGGGGAGACGTCTTTCAAGTAATCAAAATGATTAATAACAAAGTTTAATAGATAAATTGAGCAATTGATTTAGTAACAACTAAGTGTAATTGACAAAACTGACCAAACACAACATGCTATTGATCAAATTGATTACTAAAAAGTGTTAGTGGTAAAGTTGAGTAATAACAAAGTGTAATTGATTAAATTGCGTATTAAAGTACTTTGAATACAATTGAGTAAAAACAAAGTACATATAGATATTGTAATATATATATATAAATTATTATTGACATTAAACTGCTAAGTTTGCAGTTTAGAGGTATTCTAACCAAATATTAAAATACTCTAAGCATCCATTAGTCAGCATTTATATATTTACAAACAGTTTTGATAAGGTATAGGCTTCAATAGTACGTGTACTAAAAAAATTTCGTTGTCAACTGGATAATTAAACAAAATTGAAACTTGTTGTAGATTCAGAAATGAGATCGATCAAAACAGCTTTAGGTTTTAATTCTAAGCATAACTTCTAAGCAATTATACCTGTAAACCTGTAACATTTTACAAACTATAGCCTTTCATCATTACCTTAGTTTTAAGGTTTATTCTAGCCCGTTTCATCATTACCTTGATTTAAGGTTTATTCTAGCCCGTTTCATCATTACCTTAGTTTAAAGGTTTATTCTAGCCCGTTTCATCATTACCTTGATTTAAGGTTTATTCTAGCCCGTTTCATCATTACCTTAGTTTAAAGGTTTATTCTAGCCCGTTTCATCATTACCTTGATTTAAGGTTTATTCTAGCCCGTTTCATCNATATGATAATGTTTATTCCAGCCCGTTTCATCATTACCTTAGTTTTAATGTTTATTCTAGCCGTTTCATCATTACCTTAGTTTTAATGTTTATTCTAGCCATTTCATCATTACCTTAGTTTTAATGTTTATTCTAGCCGTTTCATCATTACCTTAGTTTTAATGTTTATTCTAGCCCGTTTCATCAGAAATGTTGGAACTATGTTACCCTTATCCTCTGACATAATGTTCTTGAAGTTCAAATAATTCTGAATAGATAAAACATATTTGCTTGTAAACTTAGGTATTAATCGAAACAAAAAAGGTAACTAAATATAAGCCTAAATTTATTTTAGATCGGAATTAAACCTTTTGCATTTATGAGAGGTTTTTTTTGTTTGAACCTTAGGTATCCTAATTTTATTAGACAATTATGTTTTCTAATTTTAGAGCTTCTAAAAATTAAGAATCAACATTTTAAAAGAGAGTTCTGGCGAAATGTGCAACCTAAATAATACAATATGAAAGATATTTTTTAAGTCTGGATCTTAAAAGTAAACAATATTGTATAATGTTACAATTTTTATGGACAATTTCATGCCTATCTCCCTTACATGGCCCGAAAGGTTAAAGTGTATCTGATCTCGAGGGATACAATGGATTCACAATGGTTTCCATAAAAGCTTACTCGATCGAGAAAACTTAATATCTCCATATTGTTCTCTTTGGAAACTGATCATATGTTTGCTCCATAAAGTAAAACTATAAAGAAGTACATTTTCAGAACAAAAAACTTTCAGCTTTAAAAACAACGATACATTCCGCAGTATTAAAAAGGTTGAGGTCGATAGTGTTCCGTTTTGACTCAAGTAAGGTCCTCTTGAAAATACTACAACTGTTCCTCAGAGGTTTAAAGTCTTGCCCCTAATTACAAATATCTGTAATGAATGAGTAAATCTAAATATTTTACCGGCATATTACTCCACATATTTGATGCATAATCAATAACTATTTCATCTCCCTCCTCCCAGGCATTTACATGATGAGTTGAAAAGGATATTCCAGGGTCAGTGGAAATTCCTGATATCACATTCCCATTCCTAGAATATGATAATCATTGATCAGAAGAATCAATCCCTGATATCACATTCCCATTCCTAGAATATGATAATCATTGATCAGTGGAATCAATCCCTGATATCACATGCCCATTCCTAGAACATGATAATCATTGATCAGTGGAATCAATCTCTGATATCACATTCCCATTCTTAGAATATGATAATCATTGATCAGTGGAATCAATCCCTGATATCACATTATTATTCCTAGAATATGAAAATCATTGATCAGTGGATTCAATCCCTGATATCACATTCCCATTCCTAGAATATGATAATTATTGATCATTGGATTCAATCCCTGATATCACATTCCCATTCCTAGAATTGATAATCATTGATCAGTGGAATCAATCCCTGATATCACATGCCCATCCCTAGAATATGATAATCATTGATCAATGGAAGTAATCCCTGATATCACATGCCCATACCTAGAATATGATAATCATTGATCAAAAGAATCAATCCCTGATATCACATGCCCATCCCTAGAATATGATAATCATTTATCAGAAGAATCAATCCCTGATATCACATGCCCATCCCAAGAATATGATAATCATTGATCACAATCCCTGATATCACATTCCCATTCCTAGAATATGATAATCATTGATCAGTGGAATCAATCCCTGATATCACATTACCATTCCTAGAATATGATAATCATTGATCAGTGGAATCAATCCCTGATATCACATTTCCATCCATAGAATATGATAATCATTGATCAGTGTGGAATCAATCCCTGATATCACATGCCCATCCCTAGAATATGATAATCATTGATCAGTGGATTCAATCCCTGACATTACATGCCCATCCCTAGAATATGATAATCATTGATGAGTGGAATCAATCCCTGACATTACATGCTTAACCATAGAATATCATAAATATGGACCATTGGATTGATTCAGGATATAACATGCCCATCCCTAAAACTTAGTAAATGTGGATAATTGGATTCAATGCCTGATATCACATGCCCCTCCCTAGTAAAATAATGGATCATTGGATTCAATCATTGATATTACAGGTCCATCCCTAGAATACAATAAATATGGATCATTGGATTCAATTCCTGATACAACATGCCCATCCCTAGAATATAATAATCATGGATCATCGGATTAAATCCCTGATATCACATGCTCATCCCTAGAATATAATAAATATGGATCATTGGATGCAATCCCTATAACCACATGCCAATTCAATCTCTACCCTGAAATGCTTAGTTTCGCCAAGAATGAACTAGATATCCTTTTGTTTTTGAAAACTGATTATTTTCATCACTGGTTCCAGTACAAAACTGATTTACAAATTTCTTGTTTCAGAAACAATAAAGAAATAATGAGAAATAAACAATTTTCAAGCTAGAAAGAGTGCATCATCTTCCGCATTATTGATCAGATAGTTCACAATTGAAATTACACAAACAGTTCCTTCCTGGTAGAGTTTGAAGTATTTTAACCTGAGATCCATAATATATATTCTTGTTGGACCCTCTAGAGGTGCCATACCCCTCAAGGGGTGCATATTCTCCTGGTACATCCGGCCTAAGTCCATGGATACTGGATAGAGCATGATAACAGCAAAGTTCTCTGTATTGGAGATCATGTGAATTGATGGTAAATGTGGACAAGGAAACTTACCAATAACCTCGTAATCCTAAATAAAACAGATTAAATTTTTAATTTAAAATTTATTTTGAGAACTGAGATTTTTTTTGGAGGTGTGAAAGAGTTTTAAAAGAATTGTGAATAAACTAGGTGGAGTGAAAATATTATTAAATAAAAAATCATGTCATTTTCACTAATTGTCTCTGCTTTTCCTTGTTCTGCCTCAATCTGGTTTATAAAATTTGAAAAATAGGCTAAACAAATTTATTCAACAGGCAGCGCCTTTACCTAACAGCTTGCCATTGAAGCTATATCTAGATTAGATATAGAATTCAAGCTGGTTTACCAAAGGGAAGCTATATCTAGATTAAATATAGAATTCAAGCTGGTTTACCTAATGGAAAATGCTTTAAAAACAATGTGTTTAAATTATGTACTATTAAAAAACAATCAGATTATAGTTTGAAATTTAAAGATAAAAAATGAAAAGAAAAAAATTAATTGAACACTTATCTCAAATCTTAATTTTTTATTCCTCCATTCTTTGCAACCTGTGATGTTTAAACCTTTGATATTTAAAACCTTAATTATGGTATAAAGCATAATTCTGTGTTTGACATATCAAATGTCTTCGACATCAGGTTTATTAGATATGAAGTTTTAGAAATCAAATTTTGAGACTAATGTTAAGTTTCTTTGAAAACTTCTGTTGAAAAACTGAAAAAGGATATACAAACATTGTTTACGTAATATTATTAAAATTGTGATAGTGTTGTGATTCTTTTCACGTTTATTTTCTGGAGAGGGCCAACATTTGGCATAGAGTAGCACAAGATACTTATGCAAGGAAAGATATTTCAGAGGTGTACGCATTTTTTGTACTACAGTGTACTGTCTTTGGGCGGAAAAGTAAACACAAGACGGATGTGACAGCCTGACAAAGAATCCATTTTCACAAAAATAATCAAAGAAATATTCTGGTCTTAGAAAACTATTATGTGAATTTTCAAAATTATGTGAATTTTCAAAATTATCAAAATTATCAAAATTTAATGCTTTTAACCTTCTCGGATACTAAACGAACACTGATTCATCTATTCTTGTTTGCAACACCGCCCAAAGAGAACTGGTTTCAAAATGTGCGCAGAGTATCCGCAACTGCACTTAACTTTCCTTGCATTATAACCTTGCAGTAAATGAAGTCTACGTACTGTCGTCTAAATATTTCATAGTTTAATGGGTCTCACTGTATGAATTACCTGTAAAGGGTATTGCTTGTTTAACCCGAAGTGTGTTAGGGTCTATTTCATGAACCAAGGGGTAATCAGTAGTTGCAATATACATTCCCTTCTCTTTTTCAGGGGGCCCTACACAACAAGAGGTAATCAGTTGTTGCAATATACATTCCCTTCTCTTTTTCAGGGGACCCTACACAACAAGGGGTAATCAGTTGTTGCAATATACAATCCCTTCTCTTCTTCAGGGGACCCTACACAACAAGGGGTAATCAGTTGTTGCAAAATACATTCCCTTCTCTTTTTCAGGGGACCCTACACAACAAGAGGTAATCAGCTGTTACAATATACATTCCCTTCTCTTTTTCAGGGGGCCATACACAACATGGGGTAATCAGCTGTTACAATATACATTCCCTTCTTTTTTCAGGGGGCCCTACACAACAAGGGGTAATCAGTTGTTGCAATATACCTTCCCTTCTCTTTTTCAGGGGACCCTACACAACAAGGGGTAATCAGTTGTTGCAATATACATTCCCTTCTCTTTTCAGGGGGCCCTACACAACAAGGAATAATCAGTTGTTGCAATATACATTCCCTTCTCTTGTTCAGGGGGCCCTACACAACCAGAGGTAATCAGTTTTTGCAATATACATTCCCTTCTCTTTTTCAGGGGGCCTACACAACAAGAGGTAATCAGTTGTTGCAATATACATTCCCTTCTCTTTTCAGGGGACCCTACACAACAAGGGGTAATCAGTTGTTGCAATATACATTCCCTTCTCTTTTTCAGGGGGCCCTACAAAACAAGGGGTAATCAGTAGTTGCGATATACATTCCCTTCTCTTTTTCAGGGGGCCCTACACAACAAGGTGTAATCAGTTGTTGCAATATACATTCTATTCTGTTTTAGAGGGGGCACTAAACAACAGGGGGTAACCAGCTGTTGCAATATACATTCCCTTCTCTTTTTCAGGGGACCCTACACAGCAAGAGGTAATCAGTTGTTGCAATATTCATTCTATTCTGTTTTTGAGGGGGCACTAAACAACAGGGGGTAATCAGTTGTTGCAATATACATTCTCTTCTCTTTTTCAGGGGACCCTACACAACAAGCGGTAATCAGTTGTTACAATATGCATTCCCTAAAACATGATATCTGATTAATTCTTGAAAAGACAAAGCTTTTACGGGTAGCATAGTGAATGAGGCGAGCATGCTGTTCTATAATGTAGGGTCACATTAGGTCTATATTATTCCATTAATTGATTATAGTTTGTACCTAGCTTCCATAATAAAACATTTGTATTGTCATATCCATTCAGTGCACCCTCAAACAGTTCATAGATGCTCCTAAACAAAATATATATGAGAAACAAGACATTCGTATATATATGTTCCCTATAGCTGGCTAAATGGCTGGACCGAATGAGCTAAATTCTTTTGTGGACGCTCATGGGTAGCCTGGGAATGACAAAGGCTAAACAATCTATCTTTTTTTCAAAATATTTTTATTTTTTGATATTTTTTTACGGGCAAAGTGAGGCCAATCAGCTAGTAACTTCTAAAATATGGCTTGCTTTTTTTGCCTAGCAAATTGCACACTGCTGTGCCCTTAAATTAGAAAAACTTGTATGCCAAAAATATGCTCAAATTAAATTAGAGAAATATACAAATATTAGTTAATTTGCAACTATTTATAGTACCAGTCAGTTGGTCTAACTCTATCTAATGTTACAGATGGAACCATCGCTTTCCTGGCCACACTCTTGTTGTAGTTTCCTGTTTCCAGCATTCGACCACTGAACCTTGCTGTCCCATTGGCAAAGGTTAATCTAAAAATTTTAATATTAAAGGGAGTGTTCACGAAAAGTTATAAGGGTATGTTGATTTCATTTTAATTTCATAATAATGTCAGTAAAAAAATATGATATATGATGTAATAGAATCATGTAAACTTTGTTGAACCATGCAAACGTAGTTGAATCACGTAAACGTGGTTGAACCACATAAACGTAGTTAAACCATGTAAACCTAGCTGAATCATGTAAACGTAGTTGAACCTCGTAAACATACCCGAACCATGTAAACGTCCTTGAACCACGTAGACGTAGTTAAACCACGTAAAGGTAGTTGAACCACGTAAAGGTAGCCGAACCATGTAAACCTCCTTGAACCACGTAGACATAGTTGAACCACATAAAGTTAGTTGAATTGCAAGTTTCAGCAAACCTTAGATCTCATCATAAAAAATTCTTAGTTTGGCAAATCAACAGAACTGTAAAATCTAGCATTTACGGTCATGACAATAAGGTGAAACGTCGGGCTATCTTGATATTACACACACCCTTTCGCAAGCGGATAGCTGTTATCCTAACATCGGATAGCGGTAAAGGGCACATGAAATGCTTGTACAGCCTTTATTAAATAATAAAAAAAGGTGAAAATACTTTTCAACATAGAAAAAAGGGTCCTTAAAAATAATTTGCAATTTTTTTTGCATTATCTTTATGTTAGGATAACGGTAATAACCGTACTTAATGCGTCGTACAAAAATCCGTAAATTTTCAGAAAAAATCCGTTCAATCCGTACAATTAGAAAAAAAAAATCTGTACAATCCGTACAATTCGTACATTTTCTACTATGTTCTAAACTGGGTCTGCTACACCATATTCTAAACTGGGTCTGCTACACCATATTCTAAACTGGATCTGATACATACACCATTCTAAACTGGGTCTGCAAAACCATATTCTAAACTGGGTCTGCTACACAATATTATAAATTGGGTCTGCTACACCATATTCTCTGGGTCTTCCACACTAAAATTCTAAACTGGGTCTGCTCAAATGAACACTTCTGGAACATATTCTCATATAAACACTTATGGGACATATCTCGAAAATTATTAATGAATTTTTTTCAATGAGCTGGCCTTGATTAACTGAGCCATAAACAATGAACATGCATTTCAACCCTATTCTCCAAGGCCTTTTTCTAGGGGTGGGCCATACGCCCCTCCCAGGCTATACATAGAATCAGACCCCCCAGCCTTAAATGCAGTGCTTAGGACCCGCAAGATTTTGGCTTCCTGGATCCAGATCCGCAAAATTATTTTTTTCCAGTGCGGATCCTTAGCACTTAACTGCTTAAATAAAAAAAATATTTTACCATATAAAACTCTGGTCAGTTATCATTTCATCATCAACATACCCAGAACTTGTAAGGGTTGCATTCATCATGCTGCTGGCTTTTGCTGTTGATACGTCATTCTGGAATATAATTTTTCTTTTTAAATGCTTACATAGAAAGTGCTAGTAATCTAGGTTTTTAGGAGAAGGTAGTACGATCGGATAAAGAAACAGTAAAACAGGAGAATACATTAAGAATACATCACCAAAGAATTATGGTTTTTAAATTTTCATTCAATCTCTTACGTGAAAATTTTGTTCAGCCAACGAGAATGTGAATGAAAACAAAAATTTCGTTCATTTTCGTTGAATGTGTTTGAAATTTTCGCGAAATTGGCAAAATTCGTTCGAAATTTTTACGAAAGTCGTTAAATTCGTGAAAATTGTTTGATATTTTTGCAAAGTTCGTTTGTAAGTGAAATTTGTTAAAATTTTCGACCTTTCGTTCAAATCTTATTTTTGTTGGCAAAAATTCAATCTTCTTGATGCAAAATGGAAAAGATTTAGATTTTTATCGAACGAAAATGAGATAAAAAATTTCGTCAAAAATACTTCAAACTGCATGAAAATTCTTAACGAAAATTTCTATGAAAACTCTACAAAGAATACATCATGATAATTTCATCTTGTATTACATTTCAAAGACTTACACCACACACAACCCTGGAATAATTTAAATGACCTGATGATACAAAACTAAATTTTAATGGAAGATTTGAAGGCATTTGTTTCTACTTCGAATTTATTTTATTTTCTCAGGTTTTTACTTTTTGGTTGCTTAATTTTGGGCTGGTTTTTTGTCAACTTTTTGGTTATTAAAATTAAAAACGGTTGTAGAAACATGTGTCACATGTTAATGTTTGTCAAAACAAAAAATAAATATTTTTTTACATTTTTCCTTTGTACTCATTAAAATATTTTTTCAACCTACTAAGCACCCTAACCATTTAACTTAGTAGGCATAATTTTTTTGTCTCGGAAAAGCAAAAGATAGACTAGGAAAATGCATTACAACTCCCAAGGGTGGTTTCTCACCTTCGAACACACTTTCTTCTTTGGAGTTAAATTATATCTCTGTCCCAACTCTGACTCACCCACTGGAACCTAAACATTATTTTGTTTGGACATGAAAAAACAGGATGTGTCCTTAAACCACTTGATAATTGATTATACAGATACCATTAGTTCCAAAACTAACTCTGTGCCCATTTCTAACACTAAGTGTTAGAAATGGGCACAACTTGAAAGACTGGGGTTTAAGGATCCAAGCCCATATTGAGGTAAAAGTCGATAATTAAAAAGTTAACAAACTTTTTGTTAAGCATCACTAAGACAACAATTGCGAATTTTAAAATACTTTCTTAAAGCAAAATTATAAAATGTCAGGTTTTCAATTTTCAAACTTATCCGGAATTTGAATCATTGTCGCGTTTTTGAGACAAACCACTTTCTTGTTTTTGAGCATAATTCACAATTCTTAACAAACTCATTTTCATAACTAACATAATAAATCACTGAAAGTAAAATTATCTTAGCCAAAATTATGTGCTGAATCATATTGAAATCTAAGTTTTCACATTTTATTTGTTAAATCAGAAAAAATTTGATTAAGTTTCCTGCATTTTTAACATTTAATTTCCCGCATTTCTTGTTAAATCTACGTTGCAAGAACAAAATAAAATTGATATTTTGATTTCTCTATGCCACAATGTTTTTTTTAATTACAAAAAAATGTATGTTATTAATTTCTATATTTTTTAAATTTAACCATATAAAAATATGTGGTTTTGAGACGTACTTGTACGTCTTAATGCTTGAAAATTGACAAAGAAACAAATTCAAGGAATTGTCTCAAAACCAGGTTGTGTTCCGAAAATGCGACGTTACAAAATAGGGATATGCTCGAAGATGAAAACAAGAATCATCCAAAACTAATTCTCACTCCTTATTATTAGTTTAAAGTTAATATTTCTTGTTTCAATAAATAGGTTTAGCCATTTCTTATGAATATATCAGTGTTTCGGATCCGGATCCGGTCGGATCCGTATCATTTGGTCGGATCCGGATCCGTATCAGGAAACGTTGATATGGATCAGGGGAGGGCCAAAAATTAACCAAAACCATGGAATAAATAAATCAAAATGGTTCGTAAATGTATTATTTACATTTTACATGACGAAAATTTTTCAAAATTATCTTTAATAATTTAATGTTTACATTTATATAATAGTAAATTAATGACGACATTTTTAACTTTAGGATTATAAATTATAACCTTGCATAACATTTAATAGGGAAAATCCGATTCACAGAATAAAAAGTTACCTCGGATCCGGATCCGGATCCGTATCAGGATCCGGATCCGGATCCATCATCACGGATGCGGATCCGAATCAAAATGATATGGATCCGAAACACTGGAATATATCGTGTAGTTTTGTTTAACTTCGCTTGGATTTAAAGATATTTACGCTTGAAAAAGACAACTTTGCAGATTTGGCCCATTTCGAACTCTCAGTGGTAGAAATGGTCTAAGTGTTTTGGAACCAACGAGGTTATTATAGTATATCATTATTAGTAAACAGTTTCAATTGTGTACAGCTAACTGAGCACACAGGTAGGAAACTTTCATCCCCCCTGTTTGGAACTTATTTCCTCTTTAATACATATTCTGTTCTAATTTGGTTTCATAACTTTCTCCAAGGGTTATATATTCATTTGAAAAATCATTTCCACCCCTGCCTCCAAATTTGTTTTTTCACCAATAAGTAAGAATTTTTTTTGAGGGTTCTTATCACTGAATCATGACTTTTGGGAAAACTCAAAATAATTAGGGAATACTATATTTAAAATTTTTTTTACCTCACTGAGACTATTGTCCGCTAAATAGTGCTCTGCTTCTGCTAAAGTATGTGCTTTAAACACTATTTCTCCAAGCCAAGGTACACCTGACACAAAAATAAGATTTAAGAACATTGATAAGTAAGTGAACCAAACAGAAGTGAGCTTCAAAATGGTCACTCATAAAGTATGAAACTTTAGAGACAGCTGTACTGTTTCTAATAAAAATTTATTGACCAAACTTTAACTTAACAATATTTAGAGTGATACTCTTGCATGTTTTCAAAAACAAATCATTCAGATTTGATAAATTCTTATTTACAACCAGACAACCTTTTAACACTCATGCGGGCAAGATGAACTTGGGGATAGGGGTCGCTGGTGTCACACCGTTTTAAACAGGCCTAGGGAAAATTCTCGGCAATTGACTAAACTTGGGGGCGGTGCCCTTGTTTAGGCTAAAGAGGTTTCAACCCTTGAAAACTGAAGGGGGGCCACCGGTGTGTCGCCGGCGTTTTTAAAGGGCCCAGGGAAGATCTCGAATCTTGACCAAAAAAAGTATCCAGGGGAATGTCCCCCATTCTTCATCGAGAGATTTTTCCCATTAGCCTTTAAATGTCTGGGTGGTCTAAATCTATGTAAAGCAGTGTTGGGGAGTGGTGCACACCTCCCCTAGATCGCAGATCATACTTTAACCAAGGTTTTTGTTAAATCTTAACATGAGATTTAAGAAATTTCTGTCAATTTATTTCCTTTTTAGGCATTTATTCAGGCCCCCACCCCCTCAAGTTATCACAAACATAGGCCTAACTAAGAATTTTAGTGCTTTACTTTTAAGAAAGTAAAGCAATAAGATAGGCAGTCAGGCATTCATGCCATGATTTTCTTTTTAGCGTTTACTGTGTCTTCCCCAAAAAGCTTGATCAATAATACCTTCATATTTGCACGTCAATTTGCATCCAACAGGGTATTTTCTACGGTCCTCAAATACTAAAATACGGAAAATTTGATCATTACACAAATATTCAGGGTCTGTCCTAGAAACGATTTTTGGACCCCCCTCCCTCCCTCCTATCAAATTTGTACATGGATATTATTTTTCAGCAAAATGATTCTATTTATTTTTATTTTTAAAGGGTAAGGTTTGGTTAAGCTCATTTCTGGGCTGAGCGCTGCGGCTAGGACAGGCTAGGGGTTCAAGCGCTGCGGCCATGAAAGACATTGATCTCTAATTTCAACAATATTCAATAAAATTAGTCTATATTTAGGGTTAGGTTAGTCCCGCCATTTTCTCAAAACTTAATGTATTTTCATAGAAAACCAACGTATCAAGAACTTTATCATCTATTTTTTTACATGTATCCTGAATTTTATATACTTTGTAAACTTATTTTTTTCGATTTTGAAAAAGGACGAACTTGAAATCTTAAAATCCCAGGCCTGTATTCAAAGGATTTGGTAGGTAGCTAGACAAAAATCCCCCCCTCCTTTCCATTTTGTACATAATTTATATTTAGTATTTATTTAGGGTTAGGTTAAGTTAAGACACATTGTGGGCCGAGCGTTGTGGCTAGGACAGGCTTGGGGGCCAAGCGCTGCGGCCACGGGTTAGGTTCAGTTAATACACTTTCTATGCCGAGCGCTGCGGCTAGGACAGGCCAGGGGGCCGAGCGCTGCGGCCACATGTCTTTATTCAAGATCCATGTACAAAATTGATAGGAGGGGTGGGGCCCAGGGGGGGGGTCCAAAATCGTTCTCTAGGAATATACCAAATTACCAAGGTTTTTAAACTAGACTGGTTTAAGTAAGCATTTTATTCTTTAACTTTTCTAGAAACTTAATGCCGGTAATTTCCTAGTTTATGATTTTTGGACCCCCCAGACTACAGGCCTGTCCAGGTTAGAGCCAAATTAACAAAGAAATTACCCCCTCCCACCAAATTCCCACCCCAATCCCCCAACACAAAAAAATTAAACCTGAATAACTGGCGTCACATGAAAAAACAACAACGTAAAACATCTTATAACTTCACAAACTCTCATAAATTCTAAGTCATTCTGTCTCCGGTCGACATGTGGAACTTGGAAGTTGACTAAATTGCGCGGCTTGCGGAAAATACTGCCAGGGTTACCAACCGCATGGAATAAAAAAACACCAATTTTCATAATTATACACACTACATAAGTTTACTCTATGATATTAATTCATATCTTTCAAGGTATTTAGTCTAAATACCTTGATATATTTCAACGATTTTTAAACTTTAAATTTAGAAGGAAAAAACAGAAAAACACCAAAATTACAAAAAAATCCTTAGCTTTTAAAAAACACCAAGGTTAGAAGTTTAAAACCTAGAAAAAAAATCCTACCTGGTAGGGCTAAACAAAAAAAACAGGTAAGAAAACACAAGGGTTGGCAACCCTGGCTAAGCAACAGCTGTCCTTCCCGGGCGCGCCTCCTTGCCGACTCTGCCGAAGGGCGGCTTCCCCACTAGCCACAAATTATAAGAAATCAAAAACGAGTTTAAACTGGATATTTAGGATAGCTTCGGACGCGCCCCCCAGGCTATACAAAATCAGACACCCCAGCCTTTAAATATCTGTGTATCATTAGAACCAGCTTAAATATCCTAGTAAAAATGAATTTACAAAAAAAAATTTTTTTTTGATTGACCGAGTTAGGGCCGAAAACCTAATTAGTATGATACTTACAGGGGCGTAAATAAGGATTCTGTGGGGGGGGGGGGAA